ACATAGGTCGGCGTATGTAACTATGGGCTGAAAAGTCCATGGCCGAGGACAGTAAACGCGTTTTTTTTCGAAATTGACACAATTTTAGAACGAATCATCTTTTACCTCAAAATTGGCCTCAGTTTCAGCAATAACCTCTTCATTCGAGCGAAATTTCCTACCGGTGAGCATTTTTTTGCGTCTGCGAACAGCCAGTAGTCGCTGGGAGCCAAATCTGGCGAATACGGTGGATATGGGAGTAGTTCGAAGTTTAATTCATGTATTTTTGCAATTGTTTTGATCGATTTGTGACACGGTGCGTTGCCTTGATGGAACAGAATTGTTTTCTTTGTCATATGTGGTCGTTTGTTTGCAATTTCGGTCGTCAATGGCTCCAATAACGTTATATAATATTCACTGTTGGAAGTATTTCCCTTCTCAACATATTCGATGAATATTACACCACGTACATCCCAAAATACCGAGGTCATAACCTTTCCAGCTGATTGCTGTGCTTTCGGGCGATTTGGAATCCAGTTGCTCTCCACTCAGATGACGATCGTTTGGATTCCAGAGTGAAGTGATGGATCTATATCATCCATTGTTATATATCGACGTAAAAATTCCGGTTTGTTATGTTCAGACATGGCCAAACACTGCGCAGAATCATCAAGATGTTCTTGTTTTTGGTCAACCGTGAGCTCGCACGGCACCCACTTTGAACAGAGCTTTGTCATAGTGAAATGCTCATGCAATATAAAGCCAACACGTTTTTTTGATGCCTTTGAAATGTCAGCTAACTCACGCAACTTCTATTTTCGGTCATTCAAAACTATTTTGTGGATTTTTTTTTTGTTTTCTGGTATTACTGCCTCATTTGGGCGACCACTGCGTTCTGCATAATCGATGTCTCTACGACCACGTTTGAAGTCAGCAAACCAACGTTCAAATGGTGATTGAACGGTATTTTTCCCATCAAGAAGCAGTGTGAAATCAAAACACGAAATAGTTTTTGATCCATTGTTTTGAAATTAACAAAAGTAATGTCACTCACAATTACTCACAAACTTCAACGGCTTTCTTTTGAAGGTTAGGACTAACTGAGAAAGCGGTGAATGCAATAAAATTAGCGCCATCTATGTGTTGGGCCCGAGACTATTCAGCCCATATAGTATGATGAACCTTTTCACAAAATGTAACCAAAAGAATCAGGGGCACCCATTGAGTACTCTAAGGTTGTGCATGGGTTATCCAGTCATTTGGTTACACAAAACTTGAAAATGAACATTCAAGCTCTATAACTACAGCTCATTTAAAAAAATGTAATGAAATTCTTGGGATATGCAGATGAATTAAATCAAGCAGACCCGATAATATAAATGTATAACATGAAATACATAATGAAGTGAGTAGAATAAAGAGAACTAACAAACAGATAAAATAAGATGGAAAGCTCAGAACAAACCATATCCCAGTTAGGTGAGTAATTGAGTGACATGAATTGAATGCTGAAAGTGAAATAATCAACATAGAATAGTTGATATAGATATGTAAGTGGGACCAACTTGATCATATTATACATTGCATTTGTTTAATGACCCCCCCTCTTTTATTTTTTGAACGTGTCAACTCAAAAAATTGAAAATTGGAATAATGAAATAAGTGCACGAACACTTTATTTTGAAGTGAAATTGACAGATGAACGAAACATTTAATGATTTCCTGAAGACAAACACATTAATATCGATATTTCTAAAAATATTCCTTTGTATCTGCAATATGGTAATTCCAATAACACGATAAGATTTGTTAAGTTATTTTTTGTTTATAAAAACGACAAAAAATATCAGTACGACAATGAACATCATTGTTCAGTTAGAATATTGTCATTTAGTTTACGGTTTTACTAGTAGAAAGGTACCACGTCAATATTGGGAAACTTTATTGTAGGACCTCTAATTATTGACCAAAATTTAACAGGGAAACTGTATTTGAATATGCTGGAAACTCCTGTTGGCCCTCTCATCACTGAAATCGTCGAAGCGAATCCTGATGAATTCGATATGGATAATGTACTCCAACAAGATGGAGCACAACCACATCACTGCAGACAAAGAAAAAACTATGCGGATACTACTTTTCCCGGTCGTTGAATTGGCCGTCGAGGTCCTACAGAATGGCCAGCCCGCTCGCCAGATTTGACACCTTTGGTGTGAAGCAAAAGGTGTACGAAACTGAAACTGCATCAATATTGGATATACGGCAGAGAATAATAAATATTTGTAGAGATATTGAGGTTACTGTGTTCGAAAATGTTCGGCGTGAAATATCAATAGGCTGTTCATATGTCAAGAAGTTCAAAGCAACCATTTCGAGCATCTTCTGAACTAACCTCAAGCTTGTTACCTCATACTATGTAGTTAAATGTCAATGTATTCAGGCAATTATTAAAAGTTCCGCCATTTTGTAGTAGTTGAAGATATTGACATTATATTGTAGGGTTATGAAGCATTTGTCAGAAGCTTCGAAAAGATGTGTCACAAGAGCCCCCTTTCCATTTAGTTTTTTCCCAGATGGCGCCCAGTTGCCATCTTGAAAGTTTCGTCTTTCAATTTCACTTCAAAATGAAGTATTCATGCATTAATTTCATTATCCCAAATTTCAATTTTTTGAGTTGACTCGTCCAAAAAGAAAAGGGGGGAGGCATTAAAGAAAAGCACTGTATAAGCACTCAAGTACAATCGCAATTCTAACCTGTGTTGAATGATTAGTCGAGAAATATTATTCAAAAATGATATTTGATATTCAAAAATGAACAAGATGCTTGTGTCTCTTTCAAGTGGATTAAAATACGTATTACTTCCGAAATTTCAAATAAAGACACGTTCACAACAGCTGAGAGTGATATAAAAATGTTACATTGCCTTTATGTTTTGTTCATCTCTTGAGAGCGCTTCTAGATTTATTTATAGAAAGTCGACAATCAGTGTCATAAACTGGCATGAATGAGCAAGTTGGCCAATTGATAAGTACCCTTGAATAGAAATGCACGCTGCATTATTTGCAAAAGGAACGGTGGGATAATCACCTACCTGCATTCAATCTGCATTTCAGGTTAGATGCAATTTTGAAACCATAATGATTTATCGAACATTGCCACGAACATATTTCACAGCAAAGTGCTGGTATGCACAGTAATTTGCAAGGAGGTCAAAAAGGGGTCTTAGAGAACATCTAGAGTGTACAAAAATTTGAACACTACATTGATGTTGTGTTTTCTCACAACAAACATTATTCGAGAAATGTTTATTCAATATCCCTTTTTCTCATTAACATTTTATTTGATAAAAAGACAGAGTGGATATCTCAACTTGTGCGTCAACATAAAACAGACATTTTTGTTTCATAGTTTTTATAAATGTATGCAGACCGCTGACTAGTATTTTGGACTATCTTCATTATAAGTGTGAAAGAAGTTGCAATATAAGTTCTAGAAGTTCGTGATTCAAATGAGTTCGAAGTGAAATTTCACCTAGACAATGAAACTCACCGAAGTTGTGCACCTTGTATATCAGTGATCTAATCGAACATTTTCGAGGGAAGTGAGGAAACACTGAAAAGATCATTCAGATTACCCAGAGATGTCGGGCACAGCGTTTACAAATAATAAAATTAATTAATAACACCAACAAATGAACAACCAGAAAAATAGTGTAACCTCGTGGCGAGGAGAATGAGAATTAGCGTTAGTGCCCGGTCGAAATCTCAGAACAGAATATTTAGCCTCGGCGTTGCTCAGCTTCTCTGAGAAGAACCCCAGAGGTTCCCATTCGCCGTTGTCTAGCTAGTGTAGGGCTGCTCCAACGGTGTGGTCCGAAGCGTCGCAGACCAATGGTAGTTTGGCGCCGAGTTTTGGATGGGCAAGGATTGTTGCGCTGGCTAGGGTGTCCTTGCAGGCAGTGGAGGCAGCTTCGGCGGTGTCGTTGCGCGGACCAAGTCGATGGCGGAGAAAACCTTCTTTCCACGCAGCGTCCGGGCGAAGTCCTGGATCAGGTATCGTGCGGGCGTTGAGGGTACGGTAGACGCCACAGGGATACCATTCGTCACCTTTCTTGGGCACCATGTGGAGTGGAGAAGCCCAGCTACTCTTTGATGGTTGGCATGCCCAGTCGCAGCATGGACTCGAACTCGTTCTTGGCGGCGTTGAGTCGGTCCAGGGTTAAGCGTCGCAGTATGGCAAAGATGGGCTGACCTGGCGTCGTATGAATGTGGTGCACCATCTTGTGTTTCACGTTCTCCATGTTCCACGTACCCTCTGGACGAGTGATCGCCAAGAACTGATGAAGCAGCTTGTCATATCGCGAGCTGCCAGTGATTGTCTTAATTCCCGCGACCATCGCGCACTTTGATTCCTGTTGCGATCAAGCGTCCGTTGCGCGAGTCGACAAGGAGGTCGAAATGGGAGAGAAAATCAACACCGATCGATGATCGCCTTATACATATCGGCGATCACGAAATTCCACGTGAAATCAGGGGTAGGGGTCACCAATATCGGGACAGGTGGATGATAGGATAATTAATCCTGGAAATAGGATTAATAATCCACCTATCACCAGTCTCGACATCAGTTTTGTTGAAGGGATTGACGAACCAACTGATACTGATACATATAAATCTCTTATTAGGCGTCCTCTCTTATTTTTTGTATCATACATGAAAAAACAGAAAATTCTTGTCAGATCTAGTTTGGTTCACAAAGAAACATGGTTAGGTTAGGTTAGGTAAGGTTAAATAGGGGAAAATGAATTATTTTGAAGATTATACCTCATTGTAGAAGAAAAGAAATACACAGCCAAAACGATATCAACGATATCAGAAACATAACAAATGATATTTTGTGAATTCTCACAACTTGTGATTAGTTCAGTATAAATAAAAGATTTTCCAACTGTGACTTCCAAATTTTGACAATTGATAATGATCATCTTATTGAAGGTACGTCTGTCAAATTAGTTGTCATTTATTCAGTCTGTTTTGTCAAACCACAATGGACAAATAAAGCATTCAACAGCAGGTGTGAATATTGAAATTGTTTTATCAAAATGGGTTCGGGCAACGTACCGCGCGCTTCGTCCATTTTACGGTCGAAATAATCGTCCTACCGAGAGGACTATTCACAAAGTGGTGGATAATTTGAGTCCAATGATTCAGTAAATGCTCGACCAACCAATCCGAAGCAATCGGATCACTCAGAACTCGGCCTGTCGCAGGCCACAATTTGGGCGAATTTCGCGTCGTAACTCGGGCCTGCACCCGTACAAAATTCAACTGACCCAGGAACTGAAGGCGGATGATCATAGACAACGACGTATGTTCGCTGAACGGGTTCTGGAGCAGTAATAATAATTTATTAAACCACTGTGGTATAATGTATACATATGGTACGTCAATTAAATCAAAGCATTTACTGTTAGTACATAGTTGAAATGAAGTTTAAAAAAATTTGTGACCCAATAAAAACGATATGTATTAAAAACACAAAAGAATGAAAATATAAACATACTTACAAAAGCAATTGTCAGTAAGATACACCTTATATCATAAAAATAAAATTATTAATAATTTAGTTTCGTCAATGGGTACAATATGTACATATGTATATGTGGCAGGTTAATTAAAAACAAAAAGCATACTATAACACTAATAAATAACATTTATGACATTCATATTAGAATTATTCAGAAAATAACTACATTGAATTATCATTTAGGTATTCCTGGCGACTTTAGTAACACTTTTTAATGAGCAAGGATTTAACACGGTTATATAACACATTTTTGGATTTCAGATTTTAAATCGAAGATGGCAGTTAATTATACAGGATGATCCCATTATACACGGGTGATTTCTAGAATTTAGCTGTCCTGTGGAGGGGTATTCTCAATTGATCAGCGTGACGTATATAAAAATTTTGAGAGGATCCATTAGTTGTGAGAGTTGTAAGATTTTTTCTAATTAAAACTACACATTTAAAAATATACAGTGCTGGGACAGACAGCAACTTCATTCTTATGAACACTGGTTTGCAACTTTCACGATATTCCATGCAAAAATTAGTCTCAGAATACATTTCTGTTTTATAAATACCCTGTTGAAATCCGAACCGCACCCCCGAGACATGATGTTCAAGGAAATATGTGAAAAAGCCATTGCATAATAGATGCTAATCAGGCTTTTTTGATCTACACAGTTTTTCATCTGCTTTATTGCAAAAAATGCTTTATTGAGTTTCTTGCAGACACTTGCAATATGAGAGTTTCAATTCAAGGCTTCATCCACAATTGTTCCTAAAAATTTTACTTCTTGTGACATATCTATTTCATCAACAGAGAACACTGCATCTTGAGTATTATTATTTCTGTTATTAAATTTCATTGTCACTGATTTTGAGGTGTTCAAGCCTAGTCCTAAAAGGAATAATATATTCGACAAAATAACCGAAAACCTGAAAATTTTGGTGATGAATTGCCACCATCTGTGGCAATTCATCACCCTGATTCAACACTTTTTGAAAATATTGAAACTATAATAAAAAGTTGAAGGTATTGAAATCTGAAAGGTACCTCATTAACCATTCCGTTGTTGTGTCTTCAGTATGGTGTATATATCTTTTTCATTATTTTCCATCCAGTGTTGTTTTGCCTGAAACAAAATCATAAGATAGCAAATAACTGCGGATGAACCACTAAATGAAGTGAAAACCTCAACCTCTCATGCTTTCTCTGACAACAACGTTTCCTTAGACCTTATCAGCAGACTTACCATTTTATTGATTACTCTATGTAACGGAATCTTTCTTGAGAACCCCTATTCTTGTTTCGAGTTCATCTTCTCAGTCACAGATGTCGCAATAGGTCCAGGATGAAATGGTTTTCCACCAGAAGTTAGAAATTTTCAAACCATTCGTCCCACAAGAATAGAAACAAATATAGAAACATCTTCAGAAGGTCACAATTCCTTTTTCTATTCAAGAACTTTTAATCATCCTAAAATTAACAAGTACTTGATCAAAGGACTAGAGTAACTTCATCAAAACGGAATCGAAGAAGTTTGATTTGGACAATTTTGGTGGATATTCAATCAGAAATAAAGCAGGTTGATGAGAGGACTATTAGATTATTTTCATCGAAACGGAATTAAAGAAGTTGAAATCGGGTAATTTTGTTGGTCATTCAATTAGGACTGAAGCAGGTTGATCAAAGGACTGGGGTAACTTCATCACAACGAAATTCAAGAAGTTGAGATCGGGCAACTTTGGTGGTCATTCAATCAGAACAGAAGTATGTTTTGAAGTCATAGATAAAAGAGTTCGATGATCAAAAGATTAGTAGTTTTGCAAACCGTTCAAACGAATTGGAAACGAATGTGTAACATCCTGAGGCCAAGCAATTTCACAAAATCGACAAGGTCTTGTGCGAATATATAACAGTTTAAGACATACCAATCCGTTACGAAAGTATTAATTCTATACATTTTACGGTAAACACTATCAATTATTTAATGCGTGTATGCTGATGTCTTAATATGTTGTGATATGTGTTAATGACACCAAAAATCGTTTCAAAGTTGTAAATTGCCGATGACGATGAAGGCGCTGCCAACATTTTTAATGAGATTACGCAGTTCTTGTATGCTCTGTTTATTCGAATAACCATTATGTTGGAATGAGTCGAAAAACGAGAGCGTCTCTAGTATAAAATCAGGGGCGATTGTCGAAAATTTGTCGTTAATGTCTATAGTGATAGATAAAGCTCATTACCATGGCTATGGGCTGTCAATTATCCAGTTCATTTGTTTTTGCTGATATAAAACGACCCACCAGGAGACTTTCTTAGCTCCAGGCAAGAAACATTATAACGCATACATTGTAATATTGGTAAATAATTGAAAATGCATGACTGAACTTTGAAACCTTCACTTTCAGAATTCATAGATGTTTATAAAATGGTGGTTGCAGAGAAAAATAATTGAATACGTCATTGAATACGTCAACCTCTGTCTTCTTGTATGAGTAATATGTTCCATGAATCTATTGAAAATGTTAGGTTCATTTACAAATAATTATTGATTGGAAAATAGTTGAACAGCAGGAGACAGATGATTTATTCAGAAATTCACTTGTATATTCACGTTTTCAACTTCAATATGTTCATTCTCACAGCTCTTCAAAGCACAAAGTTCCTGAATATAGGTTAGACCAGCCAATCTATATTGTACGACTTTTTCTTCGAAAAAAAGTTCATATCTAGTATTCAGATCCATGAAATGTCAATCACTTGCCAGAATATCAGTTTTTTCTTGTTGAAAAGTTGGTTCACACGTCCATTCTCAGGGTTATACGAAAAGAAGCACGAATATTGGCTATTTATCCTTATCTTTGATTTCAGCTTTTACTGACTATTTCTAATACAATTGCTTATAAAATTGTCAAACAGGAAAATAAAGGATTCGGTTTCACACTTGCCAATCTATATGGAATGACTTTCAATTCGAAAAGTATACATACATAGTCATCAAAATATTAGATTTATTTTAGAAAAGGTTAGTACATAGGTCCATTGTCTGGGCTCTACAACAAGAAGGAAGAATCTAGGTTATACCTGTCAATCTTTATTGAACGACTTTTTATTCAAAAAGTATACATACATAATCACCAAAGTATTAGATTATTTTGTTAGGACGTAGGTCCATTGTCAGGGCTCTACAATAAGGAGGAAGAATATAAATTATATCTGCCAATCTGTATTGATCAACTTTCTAATTCAAAAGTGGACATATAACGTATTTTGATCCATGAAATGTCAATCACTTGCCAAAACATGTTCCTTGTTAAAAAAGGTTGAAAATTAATTACATAAACATAGTGCTTCAAACAAAATATGGGGAAAGAAACGAACACTAAACAAAACTATACTTATAATGGTATCGAAATCTTTCTACACAGCTATGCCTCCAACTGTTTTTGACGTGACGAATTTGAAATAAAAAAAAAGGTATAGTCCATTGAAGTCAATACTTCTGGTGAAAAAACAATTGAAAACCTATTCTGGTTTGATTAGAAATGAACCCAAGTCAAGAATTTTGAATAAAACCCTGAATATGTCTTCAGACAATTCGATACATCATACATTTTTTTTCAACGATATGAGACGCCTTCCAAAATGACGGTGTAGGAGCCATTTCCTCCAAATTAAAAAATCTAGGTTAATATTGTCAAACAGCTTGATGTAGTGAGAACAAAACGTAGTTTGCTCAGTTTTTAAATAAAAAATGCTGGAATTGTTTTTTTCACTTATTTACATACTTTTCATTAATTTTTTCAGTTGCCATTCAAAAATGCTAGTGAAAAAGTGCACTTTTTCATTTACAAGAGAATGAATGAATTCAAAAATAAGGCGGAAACTTTGGAATCTTAAATTTTTCACAGTCACAGCCAAAATTACTGTACAGTATCTTTTAATTTTTTTCAAAATTTTTTGAATCAGATTGAAGTAGATGAATTCAAGCTTTCTAAAGGGTATATTAAACCTCATATAGGATGATTTACTGACCTTCTTGGAAAGTACTGGACCAGAACTGTCTTTTCTGCATTGACCATAAGAAAAATTTTGACTGTCGGCATCTTTAGAAATAGAGGTACCTATAATCAACGAAACGAGCTACTGGAGTAGTCCTGATATGTTGTAGCAAATCATTGATGTAGAGCAAAAATCGTAATGGTCCCAAGATTGAGCCTTGTGGAACTTCAACTTCCAAAATAGGAATTCGCCTCGAATTCCTATTGCACTCGATATATTCAAGTATATGGATTCAAAAGCCTAAGATAAATCGTTGTAGAGTGCCGGCATAAATGCTTTTTTGTAAGTAAACTCCAATGAATTTTTTCCATTGAAATTGTTGCTATATTTCTCTTCGATCTACTTGGACTAGAGCTATATATCGTTATATTTTTCCAACAACGATGTTCAACCATTCCTTCTCATGTTAGATTATTTTTGGTCTGTCTTCCCTATATATGTGTTTGGAGAGTATGTCTTATGACCGGCGTTCCGTATACAGTCACTTCACTTTTGAAAGTATTATAATCTATGAAATTAGTGGGGTAGGTAGGTATGTTCAAAGTGAGTGGGTCTATTCGTCACCCACTGCCACCCGCAAGGGTTTTTTGTGCATCAAACTTTTTCAAACTCGACCAAATTTATCCAGCTTCTTATGAGGAATTTAAAATAAGCGATACGCCCTCTGGTGTCGATGATATTATTATTATAACTTTCCGATTTGAATGAAACTGTGCAATTCAAAATCGAGTTTAATTCAACAGTGTTCTTCAATGTGAGTTGTGGGCAACAAAATCTCGTCAATTTTCATAATTTTTCAAGAAAAAATCAAGGTGAAGTTGTTGTGGAAACTATATTCAGATTGAAAGAATGTGTAGATGAACGAAGATATCAAACAAATATGTTGGAAATTAGGAAAACTGTCGGGCAGTTCCCTCATATATCTTAAAAAAGTTGGCTATTTCATACGACTAAAAAACCTTCAACAAAAAATTTTCACTTTAGACAAATCTACTTTACTCTAACTTCACTTACCTGAAACTCATTTAATTGATGGCCAACTAAAAAATAATTTTGGTATGATGAGACTGAATTCAGAAATCATAAGCAAGTATAAAAATAATAATACAAATTATCGTTGAACATCGAAAACAAAGTTTAAAAATTGAAAGCACCTTCGAAAATTTACAAAATTCGAAAAAAAAAACACTGAACAGCGAAATGGATATGTTGGTGAACAATATACGAAAGAAGTTCATTATCTATTTGATAGTGTCATTTCATTGACGAAAAAGTCAGAGATTTTTCCAAAAGTTTATTTTGAAAATATATCCTCTTGATTTATTGTTTTTGTGTTTTATTGAATTTTGGGGAAAACACATTGAGCATTTTTTTTATTATCTCAATTCAATTTCTGAATATTTCTATTGACAGAAAAAAATATAGAACAGAAAAAAAATATAGAAGAAAGAAATCAACTCAAGGCACCACTTTTCTCGACGACCACCAATTGAAAAAATGTGACTAACAAACGTTTCATTTTCTGTCTTTACTGAAAAACTCAGACTAACGAAAATTGTATTTTCTAGGCCCTAATTTTAGCCTGCATAGCTTACTTAGCGACGTTCGTCAGGGGTCAGTATGGCTTCCGCACCTTCAGTGATTTTAGTGGTTTTGGAAACGGATTGGATGCCCCTCTCCAAGCTACCAGGGATCCCAGGCAGAACCAAGGGCCAGTTGTATTTCCCCCAGCCCCCCCAGACAGTGGAGAAACCAGCGGGGTGGTCGTAGGTGCTTCTGGATACGGATTTGTGCCACCACAAAGTAAGGGATTCTAACCAAACTTAATTTTCCGGGATGGTGGGGATTGGGACTTTCAGTTTTGAGAAAATGTGCAGCCTTATGAAGCGAAAAATTACAAAAATGGAACTGAAATTGAAAAGAGAAATGAATGAGGAACATCTTTTGCAAAAGAGTGATAATGTCAAGGGCATAAAACGATAATATTTTATTTTTACGTCATTATTTTTTATTCCATACATAAAAAAACCTTTGAGCAAAATAGTAAATATTCAACATGCTCTGGTTGAACCTCTTGACAGTAAAACAACTCATTTTTGAATAGATTTCTAACATTT